GTCAGCCCAGAGTAGTCAGATTGGAGCATTTAATTAAAAAAAAAACAACCAAAGTCAATTTAGTGAAGAACCTTCGCAAAATGACATCTGCTACACTCAGGCATGTGTAATGTACTGCTTTGTCCATCTGACACTAGCTTTCGGTTAGTCTCTGTTACAAAGTGATAAAACCGGTTTAAAACTATTCTATCATTTAATATTAACAGTCATTCCAAGCTTAAGGACATTTCTGTATAGGACTTCCATAACTTAAAACTTGCGTGTCTTATGACCGGGTCATCTGTTAGTTTCTATCAGTTTCCCCGGCCCGAGCTTATATTGATAATCTACATCTGTAATAATAATAATACTCCGATTGATTATTTATGAGAGGAATGCACAGCCTATATAATAACTACACAGGCGTTTGAATCATTACACATGTGTCGATTTCTATTTACAGTTGAGTGAGATGAGTAAATTTCAACTACACCGCATAAAAGCAGCCTCAGTAATACATGCCGAATAGTTATGTCCGCATGGAAACAAGCCAAATTGTAAGTTGCAAACGCGGTAAAAAAGCCCATTGCGATCGATGATTGTGGTCAACGTTGCCCCATTGAATCAGTATTTTGTTCTTAATTTGCTATATACAGAAGGTATATATAGAAGGTCAAAATTTGGTCATCTTTCTTTCTTTATTTCAAATTTCTCTTTCATCAAGATTAACTACTGAATTATATTAAGAATCACAAGTATTTTGTTGGCTAATTCAGTTAAAGGAATGCATGGTGAGTCGTGATCGCTTGAACGTGCTCTGTGCTCCAAGTCAGTAAGTGCATCTATAGGTGATGACGCATTGCTGTCATCTGTGCTATAGAGGTAACTCCTGGTTTTGATTCATGTAATACTGAATGCACAATTCCACGTAATATTCTGATATCAGGGCCTAATATGCTCTTCATATTTCGTCAGTTCTTATATCTTACGTTTCGACTGCATGTCAGGCGAGTTTGGTCGAGCCAAATTAAAATAGCCATGGTGAGATCAAACTTGCCTGATATGCCGCCAAAGCGTACCAAAAAGGTACGATTACGTATTTCGGCCGAGTGAGCATGATATCGTAGCCATATCAGGTCAGCGACTTGATACCGCCGCCTTTTGGCTACAAAAAACAAGAAATTATCAACGAAGGCGGGGGAAGGGGGGGGGGGGGGTAAGAGAGGGAGGCGGGAGGGTTGTATTGATGGAGTACAAGCCCTCATCAACTAAAGTGGAAATCTGTGCCAATCAGTAAAGAGGATCAGTGATATTTATTTTTTAGCTTGAGACCAGAAGGTCCTAGGTAAAGATTTGCCGTATCAAAAAGTACATAGACCTAAGCTGTTTGATTAAAATCGGGAAGTGGCTTATCTGGAAGAAAACTTTCCTTCAATTGTAGACCTTGTCATTTCCATAAGTTAACACCTTTTAACAAAATACTGAGATTTGGCAATACAAAAATAAAGTCTCCATAAGATAGCGGTTGGGTTGCTGCTTTGTTCTTGATGTTCATCATCTTTGTTCGCGTTACAAATTTGCCGTTGGAAAGGCTAATGTACAAACGCAGAAGAAGAGCAGCGCTTCAGGTGAGTGGTTAGGACACCGGTGTTGTAATAAAGAGGTCCTGGGTGCATCCGTTCTATCCTTCCACTAGCTGCATCTGTACATGTTCTTGCTCTTCTTAGCTCAACTTGATTCTGGCCACGCCTTCTCAGTATAGAGCTTCATAGCCTTTACTGGGTTAATATTCTAGACTATGTTATTTTCATTTGAAATATCTGTTTTACGATCAAATAGAGGTGTACATCTTATGACGAATATGTTGAAGGCACTTATATCAAAGTCCAGTACCACGCACTGCTACGACAGACCGCATAGCATTATGCCTTTCAGAACCACATTTTCCATCTGCGTGGGTTTAAGTACTTGTAAAGTAGCTACTTCATCGATACTCGGCTGAAAATCTGCCCTATGTTGAAATCCAGGCCAATCTAATCTAGTTCAGCTCTAAGTGTAGTCTCAGAATTTAACAAATTCACTCTAGTCCATGGTTTAATGTAATCACCAACGGATCGCCAATTTGGATTAATTTGCACGTTATTGAAATACTACTTTTCAAGGAGTGTCTGGATGGGGTGTATCTGATATTTTACGATAACTGCAGAAGTTCTCGCACGTCCATTGGCTAATTTTCATTGTCAATAAGCGGACAAACACACGAATTTGTAATTCATGATATACGTCAACGAGCGAAAGCGGACAATTTGACAGTTTGTTACCATGACAATGACAATGAATTTCGTCATAACATTGTCAAAGTAGTCTGCAGATCTATTGCCTCGTGGATCCACCACAGTTACTTTGACAATGTTAGGACGAAATTCATAAGTAATAACAGGACAGACGTATAAAAAAACTGACGTCAATTTGTTAAATAGTAGCTAAGAATTGATCAACATGAAAGTTTTAACTGTCGGCCGCGAAACGACGTGTTTTTTGACTGACAGGAGTGATCTCTCATTGAGATCGCATCATAATTTACTGATAGCTGAGAAGTCTTTCTTTTTTACCAAGAGCAAAGAAATCACGGAAAATTCAAATGATAACAACTGAACTCAAACCCTCTTCAAATAACCAGTAGTTTCCTTCTCGTTACGTGAGCCGGTAATTTTAGAATATTTCTTTGAATTAGATGGCTTTGAATCAATATTACAGAAACCTATTTTGGAGGTGTCTCCATATTTTGACACTAATAGCTTTTCTCAATTTAAACGACCACAAACATCGTGAACGGAGGTATGGTTTGCTTGGTAACAAACGAGAAAATGTGCTTGGTTATGCCATGCCGGGGTCTTGGGATTGTTTAGAATTGTGAAATTTCATTATAATTTTCATGCACAATAGTTATGGTTGCTTTTTTTCGTTTTTTTGATCTTTTAAGAGTCAAAAACGTAACCTTTCTTTTAGATATACGACGTTTGGAAGCTCGACTGGCGCCAGTAAGTCTAGTACTTAACATGCAATTTGACAATTCCGTCTGATTGTCAAGTTTTCAGCTATCATCCTATGAGTTTCCTGTTCTCTCGATGCATAATCGAACCTCTTAAATGAATAGTTGAGTCGCAAGTCTCTTCTATATATCAAATCCTCTCAAGAGCCATTCTAGCAACTAATGACGAAGGTTAAGTTTTATGATCGCTTGAGAATAACTACAAAAGACGAAAGTAGACAAGAAAACTTCACTAAGGGCGGTAAGTGGACGTTATCTTTGATTCCATGCGCCAAACGTTTCGCAAATAGTACAGTACTGTTAGTACTTCCTGCATACACAACGAACTTTCTGCGAAGGATTTTTTCAAGAACCGCCATTAAATTAGCAATGGAAAAGTCGAAAATCTGCCAACTGAAAAATTCGTTATTTTCTCTTAGATGTTTCAATGTCTCCGATTAGCTCGGTTTCAATTTTTTCCGGTTAGTTCGGATCTTCTTATAAAAATGCTTACCTCTTTGTCTAGACAAGACGAATCAATTTTTTGCCGGTCACTCTTGAAACTTTATTTGGTCGATTCTGAATAAACTTGAGCTAGGATATAAAACCAAGAAGTAGATCAGTATGTCAAGAAGCTTCAAGAAAAAGTAAAATTCAAACTCTTGCACTCAGTTTCCTCATATGGGCTGTGGGAAATCATTGCTGTTGTCACTGTTGTAAAATTAGACAGCCTACACCCGTTTGACACAGAGTTCACTTTTCAGGCTTTTTGCAACATGAGTCATCTTCAGGGTTAAAAAGCCGCCCGTAGTCGTACACCGGTTTTGTAATATTGGTGTATTTCCGAACGAAACAGCTGCTCAATATGGCAATTAATGGTAGCGTCAATTATTCGACAAAAATATCCTCGCATCGAATAAATAGATAAACACATAAGGGTAGAAATAAATAAATTATTTAATAGATAAATGTCACATGTTCACAGTGGTTATTATTACGTATCGCGGAAAAATTGTCGACGAAGAACTTCCCATGTGGAGAGTTCTCTTTCTTTTTATGTTGTACATTCACTTCTCTAGATATTAACTGGGTACACTGCCTCGCCAAAATACAAGGTGGTAGGGTTCCACTTTTTGTAGTTTTTTTTTCTCTTGAGTTCCTCGTGCTGTAACTTACCTGGACTACCTGCAATCCTGAAGTACTTAGAGGAAGTCCAGTGCACTTTTTTTTAATTGTGTCAGCCTAAACAACTAAACTACGCCTTAACTTGAAAAAAATCCACGCATTTACCGAGGTGAACCCCCGCGCTTTTTTTTTTCTTTGTATATATAGTTTTTTATATAAATATATTGAAAATAGAAAAAAACTGCACTTTCATCCCGACAAGCCTGTTTTGTGATCGCTCACCCTTCAGGGGATTTTTTTAAATATATATTTTACTTGTAGGTAAAGCACAAGTATATAGTGGCACAAGTAAAAGCTGTGCAGTTATCACTCCGTTTTAATCGAAACGTTCAGTACCCTTGGATTTAGAATTAGTTCTTGTCGTGGCTTTCCTGAGTCAGCCAGTAGGTTCATAACCTATCACCCAAACCTATGCATGTGTTCGAGTGCGTCTACTTTTGTGTGTACGAGGAGGCTTGGTTGCCTGCTGTTTTGCGCGCCGTCAGTGAGGCCCTGGTGATTGTTTTCGTGTTGTGTTCTAAAACAAGTTACTTAACTGAGTGTTACCGACTGAGTATAAGCAAATTGTTGGGATGGACCAACATTCCATCCAGAGGGAGATTTTGTAACGCCTTCAGCCACTATGAAAATGTAACGAAACTGAGCCGTTCACACATTGACTGACTTCAAAATAATGCGTTTATGCCACTCTGTGTTAACTAATCGCCTATTTGATTAACTAAAATAATAAAAATCCAAGAGGTATGTTAAACCGCAGAAAAAGGCTACTACTGACTCGGGTCGACTCACTCATTTGTTCTTGTAGACCACCAAATAGATGCAGGAACATATGGGCTCGCCGGTGTTCAAGCTGGTAGCTAGAACTTCCAGAAATAACTCTCCTTTCTTCAGGAGTGATACAAACAACAACAACGCGCCTCGGCCCAAGACACCACCGATGAGCAGTCCAAAGCAAGAAAGGGACAGAGAAGGTGAACGTAAGTAGACAACACTGCCGGTATGAATTTCTAACTTTCTAGTTATTTTAGGCTGCCAGGCCCCTAACTCTTTTAATATATAACTTTGTAAACATATTTCTGTGAGACCAAGGGGGAATAAAGCTTGTTGTTGTTCTATAAAAACATTGCTATAGTACTGCAGTGTAGTCATATCGATGTTATCGTGTACAGTGATATTGGTATTCTAATGAAGTGACACGCCAGTGCAGTGTAATCTGCGCGGATCAGGCGTTCTTTTCGGCAAACCGAAAAGAAGAACGCTTGATCGCAGGTTAGATACAGTGCAGTGATAAAGTTTGTTGCATTTGTAGCTGTTTTCATTAGAGTGTTGTAAATCCAAACCCAAAGTAATCTTTCCAGCTAATAGAAAAATTGCACAAACACTCGAGTGTACCAATCAAAACTCCGAGCAAATACATGGAGCTGAAGCAAAGCGCGGGAAAGCGTGTATGAACGAGTCGTGATTGCTGTTTGTTCTACTTCCAATTGGATGACAAAGTGGCAGCAGTTTTTTAAATCAATCGCTTAGCGAATTACCTTCGACGCTCAAGTAAAAACTGCAATAGTTCGTGCAGAAATGCATGTTGTTTACGATACCTCGCAGCACACTTTAAACCTAAATTTCTTTATACCATGCAATAGAAAATACATATATCTCATTAGACGTTTTGGTGTGTAGTATCGCTGTATATTTTTACGAGTTGTGCCGTATTTTGACGAGCCCTACGAGCCCTACGGGCCTTCTTTGCATTTTCGAGGTGTCTGTGGAGAGGATTTAGATAAAGTTTTGAACGAATAGTGCATTTATACTAAAGTAATTAGATTATTCGCTCTCGATTTCTATCGCGTAATAGTTGTCTCGGGCTCCGCCTTCGTCAATCATCACGCGCTCATAATCTAATTATTAATTATAATATAGTTTTGCAACGGTCTCACGTAATATACCATGGAATATTCCACTTGTTACTTACATTTTCTTGGTACACACTCGCCTAAAGTGACTGGTGGGAAGTTCCGTGGTATACCATTCCAAAGCGTTGCATAACTAGCAGGTACACTGAACTGTAAAATTCGAAAGCATATTGACCAATCACTGACGTTTGCTGACGATTAACACATACTATTCGTGGCACGCGTTGCCGACTGTATTCATATTATGAGATGGAATAACATTGATGAGTTTGACGGGAAAAGAATACTGTGTGGCTAATAACGTTTGTGGAAGTTAAATGTTTTGCACTGTTAATTTTTTTTGTGTTTTGTTGTAACTAATTTTTAGAGATTTCGAGAGACCGGTTTCTTGTAAAAGAAGTGAGTGAAAGGAGCTCAGTCACCCCGGGTATTTTGCATGATTTTGGACACGTACAAAATTACCTCAAAATTGAAGGAGACAGTAATAGTTTACTAAGATAGGAAAACACCTAAGAGATAATGGTAAACCATAAAGGAACAAGGATGGTTAAAGATGGAGAAGATTAACACGGATTGCAAACGACGAACTTGAAAAATTTACGCTGAACTTCTCAAGATGCACAAACCGTGACGTAGCTCCTTTAAGTTTGCAATTTTTAGCAAGTTAAGAGCAATAGAGCGTTTTCAATAATGTGGCCAGTAGCCATACAAACGTATGGGAACAAAAGAAAGTGTTTATGCGTCAGTCAATTCCAGCAGTGCCCATCCCCCCCCCTCCCCCCGGGCTAATCCCCCAGCATTAGCATTTTTTTTAAAAAAATGGGTAAATTCCCCGGGGTGGGGACACATAAGCTGTCTAAATGCCCCGGGGTGGGGACGAAGAAAGAGGGCAAATGCCCCGCCCCGGGATAGTCGTCTTCCAACACCTCTGCAGTTTTCTTATTAATCAGTGAATAAAACGTTCAACTGTTCAGTATTTTCATGTTAATGCAACGGTAAGACTTCAAGGACAACAGTACGTGTTAGTTGATTCTGATTATTTTTATTTCTTTATATTTTGTTTTTAACAGTTTGCTAGAGGATAGCGTGACATTAAATATTTTGTTGTATAAAAACCATTTGTTTTGGATATTTCGACTAGAATAACGACAATCCCGTTAACAATGTCTACAATGAAACAATTATCATTGTTCTAGAAATCTCACAACTTTAATATTTTATTTCAATACTTGATTATAAACAGTTCGTTGAATCAATAACCAAAAAATTTAAATCTAAACTTTGTTCAACAGTGTCAAATGCACGTAACAAAGCTGGACCCTTCCATCCACAAAAATGGCCACTCTATGTTCGACAAACACCTCGTCTTTCCCGATGAACCCATCCATGGCACTTTCGAAAACACGTGTGCCAAATGCCCAGTGGTCACCCCGGGGTACGCAAATGCCCAGCCCCCGGGCCGCGATAAAATTGCGAATGCCTCACCCCCGGGACTGTCATCGTGAGCAAATGTCCTGCGGTTGCCCGGGGGGGGGGGTAGGACTGGGCACTGCTGGAATTGACTGATGCATTACATAAGAAAAGAGTTTAATTATAACCCCTACAAGATTGGTCCGGGACACCAACATGGCCACCGTTACATTGTTTTGGGATACCCTTATGGCCGCTGTGACGTCATGTGAAAACACTTAACAGCTGCATATTTGGAATTTATATGTGTTTTGATACATGTAATCGAAATAGAGGTTGCAACAACAAAGGTGGAAAACACTTTTGTAACAAGGTGAACTATATTTGTTCTGTTCGACCATTTTTTGTGTTTAAAAAACAAACTTGTAAAATTTCAACAAAAAACTTTGCACAGCAATCGGTTAACACTTTTTCTAGGGCATACTAAGTTGTTAGTTCTAAGGGTATGGACGCTTTTACGGGATGCTGAATTTTAAATTTAACAATAACATTAATGTGACAAGAAAACGACTAAAACTCACTGTTCCGCTAACATGTCTTAACTCAAGAAAAACTAACTTCTGAGTAATGCATAATTATATGTTTATATCAATTTAGTAACAGAGTAAGCGAGTCCTTGAGTTTAGTCTCGAAGGTATGTGGATATCATGTATAAATAAGTAATTTTGGTTTTGGTGTGTGTTAACGTTTTACATTTTAAATACTCCCATTGACCTGTTTCATTTACATTTTGTTTTGTTTGTTGAATACAACTTAAAATGACAGGACGAGCGGCGGCCTTGAATCTGGAATGGCTGAAAAGCTCCTTCAAACTACTCGAGAGTGCTCTGCGGGAACGAAACAAACAGCTGGAGATACAAAAAAAGGAAATAGAGTTCTTACGGAATGAACTGAGAAGAAAGGATGACGTTATCAAGGAGTACGAGAATTTGATTAATGAACGAGAGGACATGGAAAGACAGGAGGTAGAAATTTTACACAAGGAAATCAAAACATTGCGTATGGATGCCATGTCTAAAGTTGTGACGATACGAGAACACAAAAGCGAGATTGAGCGACTGGAGAGTAAGGTTGAGAAACTGATGTCAGTTATGCCACCGCCTTCTCTACCCCGTGCGCGTGCGCAGGGAGTGTCAGCTGAGCCCGCCGCAAAAAATCTGAACGTCAACTTTCAACAGTTTCTTAAACACTACGCAAAAAGTGACAGGTGAGTTAGAGGCGTTGGAAGTAGGTGAATCTCGGGGAAATATGTTTTCACTTCCCTCAATATCACGGAAAATCAGGAATTATGGAATTTCTATACATTTAATTTTCGATTTTCATTTTCTTAATTTTTTAATAATAATAATAATAATAATAATAAACAATAATAATAATTCTTTATTCAATAATTCTTTATTCTTAAATTAGGTAACCGTTCTCTTTCAGTACCCTTTTGCAGTATCGGGAAAGTTTGGTGGAGCCATGGCTCGTGTTTGTATTTGGCGAAACGATTCAAAATACCCATTAGCCTATGGACAAATCAAACCTGTTGCCGCCGAAGCGTACCGAACACATACGATTAGGCGTTCACCTTACCCAAATTCAGCCATAAATCCAGCCACATGAAACTGACTTGATATTGCAGATATCAGGACAGGGTCAACAGAAACAAACGCTAGCACATACCTGATGAAAAAGAAGAAATTATAAGAAAACAGCCTGGAAAGCATGCGCGCGGCATTTTGAAACAAAGAGAATTGATCTAACGCGTCATTGAGAACTCCGTTTGAAACTTTCCTCTGGTAGTATATCTCAAAGATGTCGGGAATATAACATCAGTGTAACATAATGACATTTCTGAATTATCGAATCATAACTCGAAGAAAAATTGCCATTCTTAATTAGCTTAGATAACAGAGTGCCATAACTTGATGCCCTAAGCAACTCGTTTAATTAATGGGGCTATAACGGCCGATGGGATGACTCTAAAATAACTTTCCCTGATTTTGGCTTCTTGCGATGCATTTGAAAAAGTTCTTGCGAAACCCCTTTTACAAATTTATCTTTTTACACATTTAGTTGTTTGTCAAACAGCTTGCATTATTTTAAAATGTGAACGAAGCACTTTCGTGGCAGCTGGAAAGGGCCATTAATCATGCATCACTTGCATGTCTCTGCTGTCTATAACACCGCACTCAATATTGTACAAAAAGAAATCTTTCGCGAGTTTTACTTCAACACTTTATCAGTGAAGCAGTGCAACCACACGACCGTGACGTGACAATAACAGGAAGTTATATTAAACGGTAATGTTTTTGTAAACCGCAAGAACTGAAAGGCACCTTCCAAAAATAGAAATATAAAGAATTTGAATATGGCAACATCCAAATATGCAAATCACACGTTTTAATGTTGTTATTAATTTTTAAATCGTCGCCCACTTCAAACCAAGACGGCTGGTCTCTTCTGAAGGTAGGTATCTTGCACACCTTCCAGAAATTAACGTATTGCCTTTAGAGACTATTATGTGAAGTTCAACAAGCAAATGAGTTGACACACTCAACTGCGACGACTTGTGCCAGTCGTACGTAGGCGCATGTTGTCCACGACACGTATTTAGGAAGTTTTAAGTTTAAGGAATGGCGCTATTATTAGACATGCAGGGCTTGAGAAAAACCACCACACGACTATCTTTGTGTGTGGTACGAGTGGGCGCGAAGTGGAAGACACGACTCAACTACTCAAGACTGAGGAACTGGAGAAGTATTGGGGAAACACCTTTTCGCGGCGAGTAAAACTGCGGTCCCCTAAAACGTGTTTCTACATGTACATATGCCGGAATAACTGGAAAGCTCACTAGTTTGAACCGCAGACAATTTATCTCGGCTTGTTGGCCGCAGATTACTTTTTATAGCTACTCCTCAAGTAATCTTTTCTCCACTCGTCATCTTTGCTCACAGAAATGTGACGAACCCAAAAGATGTAACGTGTGCGTAGGAGGCATACAGACTGATGTGACGTCAGGCCATGTGTGCTTATATCACAATTTCCTAAAGCAATTTAGCTGTAGGTATATTTAGCAAAAGGGATTAAAGTCGAAGACACGTTTCAGGAAAGGTGTGAACTGAAAGATGTAGAAGTCAACCGAATACGCTTCAGTGCAACGATCTTGCAAAATTCATGAATAATCTGTTGGTGATAAGTCCGTAGGATGGGTTGTAAACGCAATTACTCTTACTTAATTGCATCCTGTGTAACCCTTTTTGTCTCCAATGATTACTGCTTTCTTTTTATCAGTAAAATGTTATTAGTTCGTAATATTCGAGTTTCAGAGTGCTCTCCGGCCTTAATTGTGAGTGCTGTATAGCCTTGGGGGTTTGTGGAACAGAACGTGTTATGAATATTGAAACGCTGGTGTGAGAATTGTAAAGGAAAATGTTTGCTTTTCTTTTGAGCCCAGGAACAATGGCTACATGTAATAAGAATGAAATAGACTGAGATATTGACTCGAACACCATCAACTGTAATGAATACTTGTGCGGGATAATCGGCTGAGAATAATGAATAGTGCTTCAATTTTTATCTGTACCTCTTGTGGGCATGTTTGAAAACATGTTTAGTCTATATATCAAGCGTCTTATCACGGAGACATACTACATGCAGATTACCATGCATCTTTTCAGTATTAGTGCCATTTTTGAAAACTAAGACTCCTTGGTTGTCGTATGTGGCTTGGGACACTTTTATCTCTAGGACTGATCAACATACAAAATCTTCGTAATGCTGCTCAAGCTTTTCCGTGTTTACTTTGAAAGAATTAAGATCGGGATAGTTTACCCTGAGGGTGAAAAAAATTTTCACGTCACCCCCTTGTATATGGATGAAATTCTATTTTTTGTCTGTCTGTACTTGTGCCCCTAATTCTATCACGGAAATTGAAATACAATAAATCCCATCGTGATTAGGAAGAGTTTAAAATGAGACAAAAAGGAGCCATGCACACCTGCTTACTCACCTTAAACCAATCCGCGGTCTTTGTCAAACCTTGACTATTTACTGCTGGATCTTGAAGAAAAAAAAAAGTGTGGATTTATTAAAAATGAAAGTCAGAGGTATTGGCGCCCCTGATTCCATGCGTCAGTATTGGAACATTGCTTCTAATTTCATGTCTTAACCTCAAGACGAAACAAAGTGGTGACATTTTTTTCGTGCCATTAGCCCTACCTGCTTTTGCCAACCGTTTTGTTCTGCACTAGTGTTGTCTCTATCATCTCTGGACCGAGATTTCAGTGGTGAGTGACAGTCCGTTTCTCGTTTTATCTTATTCGAAAAATATCAAAAGATACAATTGCTTTTTTTTTTTCCTTCTAGGAAACCGTAACTGTAATTTCCAAGATTGACAAATACCTTTCCGTGAAATAAAAAAAAAAAAAAGAAAGATAAATACATCGCAAAGTAGACTTGTGACAAGAAAGAAAATTGATTGTCGTGATCTATGACGTTGTACCGGGGATACTGATATGATATTATACCACACTAAATCTAGGATTATAAAAACACACATAGCATAAATTATTGTCGGTGGCTGGATCTTGGAAAGGCTGGAAAGGAACTCTGGGGTTTGGGCTGTTAAGGAATGTAAAACCTTTTGGGCTTTGCACTCTTTAATGGCCAGAATCCCTGGGGATAGCTTAACAAACCTGCACTAACTATCGAAATTAGCATTCTTCAGACAGAGAAATGTAATAACCATAAGAAAGAATGACACTGAAAACTCTTTAGGATTTTTTTTCACTCGGCTGTTCTGTTGTAAGTATCTAAAACAGGCAGCTGTTCCACACCAATTTCCAACTGGGTGTAATTAAATTTATTTCAGTCTGCAGTGGTTTAATCTGCAATTCTCTCTTGATCCTTATTGTCATTAATCGTACTTTCCTCTAAGAGAAGGAACTCGATCTGGATAGCTTACGGTGAAGCAGACACCACTGTAAGGCCAGAAAACCTTTGGTAAAGTGGACACCGCCCTAAGGTAGACCGCATAGTTCCCTGGCTGGTGCTGACTGAAAGCCACCTTCTGGCTTCCTTGTCTTTAACTAAACTCTGTTTTAGGTGGACACTTCTCTAAGAACTTTCCCCGAGAATTCACGAGAATATACTTAAAGTTACCGATGATTTTTCATCAATTTTACGAAGCAGATTTGAGGAATCTTGGGCTTTTCATATGTTTTATCAATACTGCTGTCTGAGATGACTTGATGACTTTAATGGCTTCTTCAAGTTTTTGAGAGGTGTAATGCGGTATGCAAAACTCCATCATTGTTAAAATAATTTTCTGTATGATCTGTCAGTCGACCTTGAAGCGCCATTAACGGGAAACCTTCATTAACAGTATGACAACTGACAAGTTTAACTAAAGTTTGCACTTCAAAGCGTGATCTTTGGCAGGCTGTTATCGTTCATGTCCCTCAGTATTGACTTAATGTTTTTTTCATCGAGTCTAAAATGTACTGATAGTGAATATGACGTTTATTACCGGCTGCACTGTCACCACCAGGCAGTTTCGTCTACTGGAGCCACAAACAACAAATTTAATTTTGTGCTCATCACCAAACCAAGTTAGAATGTAATTGATGAATATTTAAAAGTGAGAAAGTTGCACGCAGTACAAGGAAAAACAGGCTACACTGCTCGTTCAAATCATTGCTGTTTTTTAACACCTTTTTTGTCACAATGCAGCACGGCAGTTGATTTGGACTAACAAGCACCGCGAAAAATGTTGAAATCCACCATTGTTTCTTTTATTATTGTCTTGAAAAATCATTTGTTCAAATTTCAGGCGTAAAGAACGAAATGCTGGCGAAAGGTGATGTCAAAATTAGTCAAGCTAGAATATTACTGTTGAGTTAGAGCTGCCACCTGAAGTGCTATAATGCAGCTCTGCAAAGTATAGCACTGTCAAATTCTTTTCTTTTCAATCACAATATGTAAATTCGACCAATAAAATAAATGTGCCCTGACAGGAAATCTAAACAGTGTTAATGCCTTAAGTATTTTATTTTGAAAACACTCCAATGAGCGTGTTATGGAGACAAAAGGAAGGACAATTCAATCATTAATTTTTCTAAGAGAATCACCGCCAGATAACTTTTTTTTACGTGACGCATCAGTCGAGATTGATAGTTTCCACGATTCAGATCCGGCAGCTTTCAACTAGTGGTGCCCCAA